AAGTGCAGAAGAACAAGGAGACCGCGACTCTGATGCAAAGGTGTTTACACACGAGCTCGAACGCTCACACGAACGCAATCGCATTGGGGTGAAGCTGCGAAGGTGCTAAGTGTAGCCACTGGAACACCCCCTTCTGAAAATCACTAAAGAGAAGAAGAAGCCCTGCGTCCCGAAACACAAACTCGTACATTGGGAACCGCATCCCTTTAAACCTTAAGAAAATAAAATGCTTCTCTTTGGGCTTGTAAACCACCAAACTCAGGGAAACGCCCACGACGTGGTCCTCGACGGTGGCAAAGGCGTCTGAGTCATCGATGGCGAAGCACAACGCGGTACTAAGGGGTTCCTGCCCAACTCAATCTTCAGGTGTGCGGGCTTGCTCGACCCCGACTTGCTCAACGCAGGTGTCAGACTCGACTTCCTCGTCGATTACAATGACATCCCTGGTCCTTGTAGCCGTTTTACCTGAAAAGCGGAGAAAAACAGTGTATTCGACATCTAAGATCAAATCCACCCTTCCATCGCAAATCAAGTGAAAGAGCAAAGAAAGGGGCGAGGAGCCGCTCGACAAACTTCCTGACCATAACACCCACCAAGGAAAACTCAACCACGCGGAAACTCTCCTCGACGCAGAACGGTGAGCCTACCTCCTCGGTAGGAAGTCTCATCCACGAGGAAACTCTTCTCGACGCAGAATAGTGAACCTCCCTCCTTGGTAGGAATTGTCGTCCACGAGGAGACTCTCATCGACACGGAACAACAAGCATCCATCTTCGGTAGCAAGGCTCCTCGACACGTAAAATCCCTCCAATTGAACGTGGGAAGCCTCCTTGATGAGAGGCTTCCTCGCGATGTTCACGCGTTTGCGGGGAGAAGGGCTCCCCGGGACCTTCATCATGGGTCTTCAAGGCCTTCACCGGAAACCCCATGAAGATCCCCAAAATCCTCATGAACTCCCCGATATTTTTATCAGAAGCTTCATGGTTCCGCCAGAAACTTTATGAGATTCGTCGGGAACTTCATCGGGTCGTTGAAAACTTCATGGGGTTCGCCGAGAACTTCATAAGTTCACCGGAAACCTCATGGACTAAACGGAAACATCATCTGAAAGTTCATAAAATATGGAAAAAGGGCCAGGAACTTACTTGAAGGAAGGAGATTATGGACATGGAGGAAGGTTGACGGCGGCTGCGACGATGGATGTGCTTTGGAGAACAGAGAGTTGTGAGAGACTTGAGGGAAAATAAAAGGGGAGCCTGCAAATGAAACGGACATCTCTGGGCACTCAAGTACCCCCTACCGTAGCCGCCTTAGGCATTTATCACTTTTGACACCTGTCTCTAGAAGGCACCACACGTGTCCTTTCAAATCCATCTTCTGCTCGAGACCAGACGTACCCGTTCCCTTCCGATTTTGTTACATCGTCGACCATATTTCCCAACCCTACATTGTCGGGAACGCTTCCTCGGGGGAAGTAGGAAAAGATCCAGAACTACATTTGACGAACAGGTCCCCCTGCGAGCTCCTGTCCTGTCGAGTAGCTCCTACTCCCGGCCACACGCTTCATCCTCCGAGCTCAGTGTTTCAAACGCACACGACGCTCCTCTAGGAAGGTCCTCGACACTAGAACTGAATCTTAAGTCATTACTCATCTGCTTCGGAGCAACGACTTAGGGGGGCTCTTGTTCTAGATTGGGCCAGAGACTGCCCCACTGTCGGGAACGACCCAATCTATCTCTCCGTCGTGGAGGGCCAGCTCATCACACGGGGAATGCTCACGCGTCTCCCCCACGGACTCCACGTGGCCCCCACGTGGGGACACGTCATCAGGAAACTACCCACTCCCGAAGATCACGGGGCAGTTGACCCACGGCGAAAACCACACGCTGGTCTTCCCTACGCCACGTAAGTCCTGACAGTTATTTGTATTGGGCCTAGTGATCCAACCCAATGCAAATTAACTGTTGGCCCAACGTTGGGGGCACATTATAAATAGCCTCTCTCACTAGAGGGTCAGATATTCTATTCACAATCTAACTTTTTGTACTTGCCTTTCTCTTACTCCATTTCTTACTTTGACATCAGAGCACCTTGCATGTACACCCCCTTCCTCTTCTCCCCCACCGACAAATTAAAGAACCTACAACGTGTTGCTGGTCAATGATCCTTTTCTGATCCGGTAAGATCAAATTGTAAATTTTTATAAGTCAATAAATATGTATAAGTATCAAAATATTTCTATTTTAATCGTTAAATATTTATAAATAAATATAAATATTTTATTAATCAATTGTAAAAAACTAAATATCAAAATTCTAATCACTAAATGTGTTGAAATATAATAATTATGTTCATTATTTATTGGATATATAAGGTAGAATAAATACTTCTTAACTAACTAATTTATTTATCATTTTTCAATACACGTTTCTAGACTTTGAAAATCATGTTTAAACTAAAATGTTTAAGTTAAATATTGAAATTAATTTATATTTAAAAAATCACCGATGTCCTACATTTTAAATTAGAACAAAATATTTTTTTTTTGAATTTTTTACTCCAAATGTTATCTAACGCTTTTAATTGATTTATTTTTATTTTTCGAGGGCATTGGTTCTTCTATGCACATAATGTATTTATCTTTATTGAGAGACCTGACTAAAATAAGAGAGTATAGTTGAGGATTCACTTGTCTGTCTTATTTATATAGCTTTTTATGTAAGTGCGCAAAAAAAAAAACACATATACTTTTTTTAGGTGCGCCGTTTTTCGCCAAGCATGGGATTGGTCTATATTGCCATCCCTAGCGTCTGTCAACCACAACGACTTTTCCTTCCCGTATGCACAAAAGTAAGTTCCTCACTTAATCTTTGTTTATTTCACCTTAATAATTATTCTTTCTAACTAATTGAGTTTGAACTGTTTTTGGTTTAAATGGTCACCTAAGGGTATGACTTACAATAGATGCCTTAGACATTGTATTATCCAATACCGCAATTTGTTAGATCACTTAACACCTGCAAATGTAAGGCCTCTAAACTACATCAATTTATATTTTATATCAAGTATTTAATGATCTAATATTTTTCTCTTCTTCAGTTCATATGTCATCCATATCTAAACATGGAACACCTACATGAAGTCAGACAGGAAGATGTTGCCATTTGGACTGCATGTGTCCCGATCATCAGATTCACAACTATGGAGATGCACAACAGTTACCGTGTCAAACTACAATTTGGAATGCATCAGAACATTCCAGATCCTCGTGTTGACATTAGTAAATGACATCTAAAAAGAGTTAATGATCAATGGGAGTTTCCCGACTAGAAGGATTTTACAAAATCTGAGCGTCGTAAATGGATGACCCGCAGTACCCATGTCTCTTACGTGACCCGGTGATGGCAACACCATCTATACCAACTATTAATTATATGACTTGATACAGATCGGTAGCAACTGAGTTTGTCTCCGAAGACAGATATTTATACGACCCACACCAAACCACCTACATATAAGACACTTCAACTTCTAACCCACCAGAAAGACCATGTTACTCACAACCCCCTACCCAACAGAGTTACCAACCCATTCACCATCCAAACATGCCAAACACCCAACTGCAATACCAAGAACTTCCCTCATACCGTCTTCCACACACTGACTACTATCCAGAATCCCAATATGGCTATGACCCCAACACAACATCAAGATATAGCCATAACGAGGGTACATCATACCATAGCCATAACGCCAAAACATCTTTCTATAGCCAAAATGCTCCGACATCATACCCTAGCCTACCCACTCAACCATCTCAACAACCTTATGACTTTCAAACACCACTACCATTTCAATCTTTCACCAGCGAATCATTCACACCAATGTCCCCCTTCAACCGTCTAGGACGCACACCAATGATCCATTCATCACATCCGAACTACTCTAGCATGGGGTGCACAGTTAGTTTCAACACACAAGACCTAATGAAAATGCAAGAGATCCTTCGGAAACTATATGGAAATGTTCTTGAGACTTCAACTCCTCAAGCACCAGGCGTGAATCAACAACGAGGGGGACAAGCGCAACGAGTTAGAGTGCCTAGGGGATGTGGAACCGGTGGCCAGTATGATCAATGTGGTCGCCAGTTTATGTAATACTTTTTTTAATTAATGATAACATTTATTTTTCCCTCTGACTTATTTTATTAATTATTTTTAGAAGTATTTAATTTTTAGAAAAAGCATTTCAAAATACAAGAAGTCTCCAGATGAATTGACGACACCCTTGTAAGTATAACACTCAGTCGCCAATTGGAATGGAAACTGCATGAGGAGTCTCCAAATTAATTGACGACTCTTCTATAGTTTTAACGAGGTGTCGTCGATTCATCTAGGGTTCTTGTGGAATCTCAAACCCTAACTGAGATACTTTGAAAATAATTTTAAAATGTGGACTATTTTGAATTTTTTTAAAAGATTAAAGTATTTAGATAAAAAATTCATTTTTTTATTAAAAAAAAATAAATATAAAAATATTTATACAAATGAGATTTTATATATATATATATATATATATATATATATATATATATATATATATATATATATATATATATATATATATATATATATATATATATATATATATATATATATATATATATATATATATATATATATATATATATAATATTAATACAATAAGTAAACTAATACTAATATTATTATTTATAAAGAAAATTATGTTAATAGTATATGTGATTAAATATATTAAGAAATCAAGTAGGAAGAAGGAAGACACGTGTGTTTGTCTGGCACCACCGCGTGGTCATGCAATTATGCAATGTTCTGTTCTTGTTATTATTTAATATTTATTTTTATCTTTATATAATATATAAACTTTTCTTAGTGGTGGAATGTTCTGGTCAGTAGTCAAGTATAATATCACACACTTACAGTGATTATCTGTTCTCCGGTCACCGGACTTCGGCCGGAGGAATGGAGGATTCTGATTCCGTTGCATGTTTGCCACCAGGTTGGACTGTGAAAGTAAATGTGAGAAAGAATGGTAAGAAAGACAAGGTAATAAAAACTAATCATTGAATCTTTGACTTTGACTTTGACCATCCAATGATCTTTCTTTTTCTTCTGAGCATGCAGTTTTGTGAAATGTGAGATTTTGTGATTTGGCATCAACATTATTCAGTTTTGTTTTATGCCAAAGATTAAAAAATGTTGTTTCTCTTAATTACTTATTACACATGGCCATAGTTTTTTGGGGTGTTGGCATGTTTTGTCTTTTGTTTTTGGGTATATTTATAACAAGTAAATGAAACCTGAGGTTTTGTTACGAATAGTATTAAGGTTTGATAGTTTGATCTAAGCTTTGCATGTTCACTATGTAATGTTTGTACTGTGTTTCTAACAAAATCATGCTCTTCATTGATGCTTTTTAAATGGTATAGTCAATGCGGTGTTTTATTTTATGTGATTATAAGATGAGGTGAATGTAGGGTCAATTACCGGTAAAACGGGATCTGAATGTGCCGATTTTATGATTCATTCATACACGACCGCAATCAGTATCATAGTACCTTTTGTATCAACCAAAATCGCGGAAGTCTTTACGCGAGTGTCACTGTTATTTAAAACCTTGGTTGTGATTTCAACTCCTTGTCAATGAGAATCTCTTTAGTGAGGAGATCTCAGCAAAACTCTGTTTGAGTTTGAGGTCTGTCCTGACGCAGGTGAGGCTTGAAATTCTCTGGTCATAGAAACTCTCTATTAAAGTTGATTGAACTCAATTCTTAATGTATTTATTGCAGTATTACCTTTCCCCTTCAAGTGATCTAAAGTTCAATTCCATAGTAGGCGTATTTCGATATCTCAACAATGCTAAGAACAAAGCCATCATCCAAAGTGTCTCAAACATAGAAAGTGATCGACAGATTCCTCGCCGTGCATCAAAGCGTCTTGCTGGAATTAAGGCTGATCCACATCTAGAACTTAAACCAACTCGAGCGCGCCGAGACATGGCTAAACAATCAGGTGAGGACAAAGCTGGCATAAATGCAGATAGATCCACCAATAGCTTGCTGAATAATCAAACTAAACAGCTGAATAATATTGAAGGGTCGGAAACTATGCCCAATGTCAAAAGTGAAGAAAACACAATGGAGAACCATGTGACTAAGAAAGAGTGTAACTATGACGGGAAGTTAGATTACACCGGTGTGTCTGAGATTCCCCTCAAAGAAATACTAACCGATCCATGTATCGCATTTGCAGTACAAACTCTAACTGGTAACACATTGGAGACTTTTAAAGACGCCCAATCATCGGCTTCAGCTGAAGAACTCGGTAAGAAAATCAATGTTACAAATGATGATCCGAAAAATTTTGCAGTTGCAGAAAAACATGCTGCTGTTGCTGAAATCGACCATCCTAATAAAAATATAGGACCATGCTCTGAAAAGGAACATGATATCTCAAAGATGGCATTGTCAAGTGTGAACTTATGCAGGAGTGTTTGTTAGAGAGAAATGCAGCCAAGGTTTGTAGGTATGAAACTTTGTAGTTACGTATCTCATGAAGCCTTAAACTAACTCACTTTGTTGTTGGTATTTTGGTGTCAAATCATGTAATATAGTTTTGTGTATATTTTTGAATATGGTTTTTGGCTTCAATGTAGAAATCTAAATAGACTGGTGTAGAATCTTACCACTCTCATGCTTTTTCTTGAATCACTTTGATGATCTAATCTAAATAGACTGGTGTAGAATCTTATCACTCTCATGCTTTGTCTTGAATGACTTTGATTTCCTTTTCTTCTAATATAATGGTAGGACATACTACAAAATTATATAAATATTAAAGATTTAAATATCTTTTGGTTCTGTTTCCGGTAAGTTAGTGTATTTTTAATTTTTTTTTTTTGTCTTTGTATATATTTTTAAGGATGAATTTCATTCGGTTTTAATTTTTAAAAAAAAAAATTCAAAATTTTTTTGTGTTTATATTTTTTTGTCTTTGTATTTGTATTTTTTTTGGTTGAGTTTGTAATTTTTTTGTATCGAAACAACAGGGTGTTGAGTTGTTTAGTGTGTCGAAGTGTCAAAAGAGGTTGTTTCACACAACTTAGCCCTAATTTAATAATTTAGCTATTTTAGGTTTTTGTAGTTTTAGATTTTGATTTGAGGTGCAAGCAAATTTAAATTTATAAATAGGAAGAAACATTAATTTTGTAAAATATTTTATTATATTTTGTAATTCGCAGTTGCAAGTAAAATAATAGAATTTTCACACGCAGTAAATTGCTCATCTTCTTTTCAACGTTTTACGTTTTTTTTTTCTAAAATTTTCTTTCATTATCATTACGTGGGTTGAAACAATCTTGAGATCAAAATTGATCGAGGAGAATTTTTCATAAATTATGGTCGAATTTTTAATATTTTTTAAGATAAATTTAAAATCCGTTAAGAGATTATTTTAAACTAAAAGAAAAATATGTAAATTTTCTGCGGATTTTCTTTTCAATTTTTATGTGAATTTTAATTTTAAAAATTAAAATTAAAATTAAAAGGCTTTTAATTATTTTAAACTAAAAAAAAAGATAAAAGAGACAAAAAAAAAACTGATAACAGTCAATTTATAAAGACATTTAAATCGATATTTATATTTTGAAATATCAATTATGAATATACTTGTACAAATATATATATATTTTTATGTATATCTTTATTGAGATTTGACTTGAAGACCTGTAATTTTCACACTATCAACAAGGTTGGCTTGACTTGGGAGATAAGGACATTGAACTTAGAAATGAGACATTTTTAAGAAAGAAAAAAAAACAATAAAATAAACATTTGTTACAAAAATTAAATTAAAGCTTGAATTTGATTCGAGGCCAGCATGTCTATAATAAGTCTTGCGCTTTATACACCAAATGAGCAGGGGTGTAAGAATCAAATTATTTCATTTACAACAAAAGTCTACATTTACAATGTAGTTTTTCAATCCATTTTCTTATGGTTTTCTTCTCTCCCCATACCCTATGAAACCTTTTAGAATTTCATATAATTAACAAAAATAATTGTGTTTATGTGACATCCATAAAAAATTGAAATTGTTAATTCATGAACAAATGCAATGAGTTGAAATGTTTTGTTTAAGCAAATGAAATTCAAGAAGTTACACGCCAAACACTAACAATAAATTTTGAATAATTTAAAACATCAACTAAATACAAACAAAAACACAAGTTGAGATATATCATCAACATATTTAACTAAAATAATAATCTTACTCCTACTTACCTTTAGATATTTACATCAATCAGCAATATTTTCCTTAAATTCAAAGGACATAATAATATTATTGAACTTGAGATATCACTTGCGGGAAGCTTGTTTAAGTTTATATATTGATCTCTTAAGTTTACACACCATGTGTTCATTTCCTTTTACAACAAATTTCATTGGTTGATTCATATAAAAATCTAGGTTTCTATTAAGAAAAATAGTCTTTACGACCATTATATAACTGAAGATCATAATAATTTAGAAGTGTCGTTATAACTTCGAATGAATTTTTCTTAAAAACCATGAAAGAGTTTCATTATAGTCATTATCATCTTTCCGTGTAAAATCTTTGACAACAAATCAAACTTTATAATGTTCAATATTTCCTTAAAGACTCGTTTTTACTCAACTCTTTTTCATCTTTCAAAAAATTCCATAAGATTCTACACATAGTTTTTTTTATCGATTTAATCTCTTCTTTTATAACATTTAACAATTTATTAGAATTATTACCTTCAATGGCTTATGAAAATGAAACTAGAGCATAATCAATTCTTAAGTCATTTTATGTATCATTAGATATACCATATTATAATCTAGAATAGTATATATTCGTTCTCGTTGGGATATCCTTAATGTTATTTATTGCGGTTGTTCAACTATGACTCATTGTTTTTTAGGATCTTTTACTTATTATTCTACTTAATCATTATGCATTTGAGAACAAGGAAAAATAATGGTTAAAGTAGAATTAGGAACTTGTACTCTAATTTCTTTAATTTTCATATTTTGTGAATCTCTGCTCCCACTATTTTCGTCGTTTTCAATTAATCATGATTTCCTAGTTTCAACAACTTTTGTATTATGAGTAAAATGTTAAAACTTATATCCTTTAGAATTTTGTGGATAATCAATGAAATATCCACTAATTTTTATTGGATTCAATTTCTTTTCATGCATGCTATATATTCTTATTTATGCCAAACAACCATAAACATAAACATGCAAGTGTCTTTTACTGGAAAGTAGTTTTTCACCATTTCAGATGGTGTAACCGGTTACCGGATATATGGTAATTGGTTACATGCTTTTTACACTAGAAGAGTAAAAGGTCAAAAGGAAAATGGGCTTCGAGAGGAAAGAAAAATTTTCAGAATTTGGGTGAAAAAGATCCAAAAAGTTCGAAGATTTTAATGGGGCAAAAGGGTGAGAGCATCTACAATAGATATGGTGATCAAAGCAACGGTAGAGGCAGAAAACTAAAGGTTGACAAGAGCAAAATTTAGTATTGGAGTTATCAAAAACTTGAAAATTTCTCAAGGGATTGTAGTGCAAAACAGAAGGATTCCCAAGGATATGAAGCTAAGGTTGCAAGGAAAGAAGTAGACGAGGAGAATATGTTCTTAGTAATGATCACACAAGGAGATTGTAGCAGTGGCAGAGGTGCTGAAAGTGCTGGAAATTCTACAGAAAAGTGCAGCATAGTTGCTGAAAATTCTACGGAAAAGTGCGAAAACGACAACGTTATGGTTACAATGTGAGATGGAATCTAATACACCGAGCAGTGGTACTTGGATTCATGGTTTTCTACGCATATGACAGGGAGCACTACGCCAAAAATGATATTTGGCAGCACTGCAAAGACATCGTTTTCTATAAAAGCGCTGCTAAAAATTAAAATAAAAAAAAACAAAGAAAAAAATCGCTACTATAACATGGCTTTAGAAAGCGCTTTTAAAAAGCACTGCTAAAGGGCGTTGTTATGCAATACAATAGAAAGCGCTGCTAATTGGGGGGATACTAAAGTGCTTTTTAAAAGTGTTGCTATAAGGGGGATCCGAAAGCGCTTTCCTAAAGTGCTGCTATAGGTCCTGCCTAAGGAAGACCTTAGAGAGCGCTTTCCTAAAGCGCTGCTAAAGGGAGGGGGGGGGGGGGGGGGTACGAAAGCGCTTTTTAGGAGAAAGCGCTATTATAGGCGGGCTGTTTACAAAAGCGCTGCTATAAGTATTTAGTTTTCTAAAAATAAAACAAAATTTTTGTTTCGTTCAGACCCATTCTTTCTTTCTCTCGCGCGTATCATTCTTTCTTTCTCTCTCGCGTATAAACCCAACTCCCTCTGCCATACTCCCTTCGCCGTACTCCCACCACCGTACTCCCTCCGTCTGTCCAACCCCTAGTGGTTTCTCCCTCTATCCATCTTTCTCCCTCTGTCCTTCTGCCGTACTCCCTCCTCTGTCCGACCACCATTTTCAAGGTATTTATGCATTTTCTTCATTTTCATGGTTATGGTTGGATGAGTTTTTTTGTTGTGGAAATAGTGAAGATGTTGTTGATGTTGTTGATGTTAATGTTGATGTTAAATGTTATAAGGTATTTTAAAGGTTAATGTTGATGTTGTTGATGTTAAATGTTATAAGGTATTTTAAAGGTTAATGTTGATGTTGTTGATGTTAATGTTGATGTTAAATGTTGATGTTAATGTTGATTGTTGTTGATGTTAATGTTAATGTTGAATATTGTGATGTTGTTTTTATTAATGAAAACACGAATTAATTTTGTATGTTAATTTTGTATATATGTTAATGTTGTTATTGTTTATGGAAACTTGAATTAAGTAACGAGAATGTTGTTGTTGATGATGTTAATGTTGATGTTGTTAATGCTGATGTTGATGTTGATGTTGATGTTGTTGGTGAAAACATGAATTAATTTTGTATGTTAATTTTGTATATATGTTAATGTTGTTGTTGATGGAAACTTGAATTAATTGTTGAATATTGTTGATGTTGTTGATTAAATTAATCGTTGATGTTTGAATATTCGCGAATTAATTGTTGAATATTGTGATGTTGTTGATTAATTATTTGAACTTAAGTGATGAAGTTGTTATATTAGGTACACCATCAGCTACTAACTTAGTGAATTTGTTATAGGGGTTATTTGTGAAGAGTAAGATTGTGATCATTTTCAAGAATCTTACTGTGTAGTTCTAGAAGTTGCTGACTTCTCTACAGTTGCTACAGGTAATCACTGTTTTTTTAGCTTACTTAGTTTAGTTTAGCCTACTTAATTAGTATGGATAAAAAATAGAGGTCTTCTAATCAATTATCAAAAGAGTACGAGAATGGGGTATCAAAATTCGTTAAATTTGTTGTTGAACACGCCAAAGACCCCAGTAGGATCACATGTCCTTGCTGAGGTTGCTGTTATGGGCGTCGGATTGACGCAGTTCA